TTTTCAATAATACCGAAATAACCCAAAAATAACCCAAAGTCTTTATTTTTTGGTTATTTCTGGGGTATTTCAGTATTATTGAAAATAACCTGAAAATAACTCAGAAATAACATATGCCGCACGTAAAGCTACGTCATGAGTCCGGACAGAAAAAACGCTCCAACCAAACAACCTCTAAAATAAATCAAAAGCCAAAAAACAAAATACAAACAAAAAATTGAGAAGAACATAAAAAAGCATAAGCAAGAGGATTCATCATCAACAAGGTGAGAAGTAAAACTTAATATACTTTGCCAAATTTTGATTTTTCTTCCCATTTTAAAGAGTTAAGAACTAAGTCAATGTTACATCATCCTTCGGGTATTCTAAGAAAACTTGTGCCAAGCACATACCACGTGAAGATATGCATACATATCATTATATACAGATCATTCAACTCATGTATTTACATATCTAATGCCAACACTTGAATTTTTACATATATTATGAACATCTAGATTTTAGATGTATAAATATGTATGCAACTGCCCAATTATGAAAGGTATATTATTTCACACTACATTCTTATTTCAACAGAGAAATATGCAAATCGTAATAAAATCAATATCTTACAAATTAAGCAGATTTGCATACACATCACTCAATTACTATGTATTTACATATCAAACATCTAAACTTTCAATTTTTACATACATAACAACACCTTACCAATGCATGTAAATGTATATTCCACCTTTTAAAAAAAAAGTTAACATGATTGTACTTTTTATATGATATGAAAACTTTTAAGTGCTATAAAAAATAAAGAAGCATAGTTTAGATATCAAACATGTAAATACATATGAATTCGGTGGTATGTAAGTAAATACCACAATTAGTTCCCCCAAAACAATATTTCCTCAACATTCAGTTCGTCTCGTAAAAGAAAACGTGGACGTAAAATATTTTTGCCTGTATCCGAGTTGGAAAGCTGAGCAGAGAAGAAGCCACAGAACTCTACTGCTTCAGTTTTTCTTCAACTTTTCAAACTTGTCTATTGCAACCTGTAACTCATCATTGCCTCCAACTGCCCTCATGGTGTAGTAATACACTCCAAGGACGAAGCTAGTCAAGCCACCAGCAACAATCCAGTTCTTCGTCCTAGGGGCAAGAGACCCGTATCCGGCAAAGGAAGACATCTTGCTTGAACTCTAAACCCTTAATCGAAAAAACAAAGGGAAATTTACATACATACCACATAAGTCTTATGTATCTGCATATCAAACACCTAAAATATTTACATTTTTAAATCTATGCATGAAAAGCTATATTTTGCTTGTAAAGAGTTGGAAAAAGGAAGTATTTTTATGTTAAAGAATTGAATGGTCTGCATGTAAGTATCGAAGTGTAGGTATTAGATATGTAAATATATAAGAATTGTGCAGTATGTATGCAAATGCCCTGAAAAGTAAATGTAGTTGCTTTTAGCCAAAAAAATACAAGAATATCATGAAGATAATTTAAAATAATTTTTATTGCATGTCTTGTAGTGCATTTACTCCATTGGTGATGATAGAACTCTACTTCTAAAAAGGCATGCAAAAAAAAAACCTTTTTTGTGAATCTAGTTTTCATGGAGGAAGAGAAAAAAATAATTAGTTGTGAACAAATCTTAAATCTTCATCATATACAATATAAGCAAAATTAAAATCTGGAGGATTCAGATCTACAGGTTTCTAAACATCAAATCTCTTTGTATGATCGATATTATAAAAAAATGAATCCCATAGTCACATGTCAGTGTTAGTAATAGAAACACAAACTCAACCTACAATTGATTGGATGAATCAAACAATAAATTTAATCCCTGTGAAATAATATGTATATTCAAAGAAGAATCTTTCAAGAATATTACAATATGTGAAAACATTATTCATCGCAACCTTTATTTCAAACAAGGCATGCGCAAACCAACACGTCTCAAAAACAACAACATTAAGATATATCGATCTTAAGATCCGTTTGG